GGGTCGGGGAGCTGGGGGATTGGGTCGGGGGTGGGGCCTGGCAGGAGTCCCCATGGTCCCCTCTCTCCTTCCCCAGCTCCCCCTCCCCCGCCCCCTACTTACCAACTGCAGTTTCCACTGTAGCCACTGGGGACTGCCCAAATCATCGAAGCTCTCCGAATCTTTTCTGAAGATTCAGAGAGCTTTGAATCAATTCAGACCTTTTAATTGGTCCCCTGATTCAATTCAGATTTGGAGATTCGGCCACCGAATCGGGCCGAATCTCCTCTGAATTGAATCACCACCCGAAGCTTCACACAGCCCTACTGCAGTTTCCACTGTAGCCACTGGGGACTGCCCAAATCATCGAAGCTCTCCGAATCTTTTCTGAAGATTCAGAGAGCTTTGAATCAATTCAGACCTTTTAATTGGTCCCCTGATTCAATTCAGATTTGGAGATTCGGCCACCGAATCGGGCCGAATCTCCTCTGAATTGAATCACCACCCGAAGCTTCACACAGCCCTACTACTCAGGCTGTGTCTATAGAGCTTCAGCATTCCAGTTGATATCAGCTACTAAAGGTAAAATGCAACAAGTCAGATAGTCTCCATGGTGTGAAGAGTTTAAAACCATAATGAGCATTTGCTTCAGATGATGGACAGTATACTGCCTGTTTTCACATGCTGAATCATGCTGGACTAGCCTATTTTGGAGTATGACTGCTTCTGATGTAATTTGACTTCTTCCTTTCTGCCTCAGGCCTTGGGATGTCAAACCTTCCCCTGGGTACCTGCTGATCTATCTCTACCACAGACTCATTTACAGGGAGTGCGTCTACAGCTGCAATTAATATGACTGAATAAACTATGGTGCAAATTGAGCTGGAGTAAATTAATCCCAATGTCATCATCTACACATGCATTTAAGCACAAAAATTCACTGTTGGGTAAATTAATCTACTGTGCCCTAATTGAGGCACATGTGTAGACGGTGATATTTTAATACACAGTAAATTAGTCTACTATGCAGTAACGTACACATGTAAACACACTCAGGAATAGCCATTAGGTCAGGTGTAAGTTTTTCTTCAGGGACCAAGTGAAAACCATAATGATTTTTGATGGAAATAATTTTTTTCACAAGATAAATACACATATCCCTGTTGGCTTGGGAGGGGGGTTAGTTTTGGGGAAGCTTAGCTTTGTTCCAGCCTGCAGCACACCACTAATTTCAAAGTCTCAACCCATCTGGAAGAAGGAGAATGCTTTGCAGGGACACCATTTTGCCAAGTTACATTATTTGACAGAAATGGACTGTGAAATACCTACTAATTGCTACAAGATTTAACACAGAAAAAGCAGTCTTGGTCCAGTGAGGTTCACCTAAAGACCTTCATGTTCAGAATGGCAGAACAGCGGAATAACAATGCGTAACATGTCCTGCTCTTTGAACATAAAATTACTGGGCTCATTATTCTACCAGCAAAAGAAAGAAAAATATGAACCAGGAACAATGACATATTTTTCATTGTTTTCAATAAATCTAAGCCCCTAATTACCTAAACTATTTCTGGAAAGCTCTGAGATACATTTCTTTAGCTCTTAATTCCCAAAGGATCCACAGTTGTAGGCCTCATTTCAGTAATCCCAGATTATTCTCTCATTTTACCTGACAAGCCACTCCATTAACCAACTTACATTCAAAGTCTGTTTAAAGAACATTGAAGCATTTACATTGGTACAAACGCTACAGAAGCAGAGAACCAGTGAACTTGCTTCAGATAGCTCTAAGGTTGCTTTTCAGGAGAGCTGAATTCCATACATTTTCTTAAAAAATACTATTTGAGATACAAAGGTCTTGAATCCTGAAGTAGTTATTTCCCCCTAATACCTACTTTGATTGACTTCTACTGATCTCAACCAGAAATCTGGTGTCCTGGTGATATCACTGGAATGAGAAATGCAGGAGATTAACCCAATTCAATGCAAGTCCAGACCAGAACTTAGATCTAAGCAACTTTAAATGCCCTGGAGTACTTAAAATCCAAACATAGGTCTAGAACTGACCCTTCTTTCTAAAGGGGATAGAACCAAAACCCATGAATTGTAAATGATGGTTCAAAGACTGGATCCCATCTATACACAGTACTCATACAAACTCTCTGGGTGCATCCCCACAAGTGGGAATGTGCATTTCCCTGGGGACAAATAGCAGTGGCACATACTTGTGCCTTACCTGAGGTCCTGGGGGCCTCCTGGAGCTGTAGTGGTGATCTGGGCACACGGAGCCTGGTTTTAGATGGTGCACACTGCCATCAAACTTCACTGAAAATAGCTTGTGTGCTCTGATTTTATTCTACCAAAGTATTTCAGAACAAGCTTAACTGAACTAGTGCTAGAGAGCCTAGCACTTTGATGGATCAAGCTCTCACTAATAGAGCTAAATACATACTTTGATTCACACATAGCTGAAATACATATGTTCTGAGGAGTGCATGCACTTTTGCAATCATACATAGCTAATTAGGTGGCTTGCTAGCCATGCCTGATTAAGTCTCAATCACTTGGGTCACCACATTCATATACGTCTTGGCCACCTCTCATTCTGATCTACTTAAACGATTCCAGCATACTACTGCTCTCTATTACTAGCTTAGTTTAAGTAGCAGATGTCTGCTTTGTGGATCTAACGCTTGATATCTGTCGGAATCCAGTCCTGATCCAAAGGCTCAGAACCAAACACCTGCTCACCCCTCCACCAGGCCACATCTCATGGACATAGGTAAAGTGCCAGGGAAAGGAGCCCTACTGGGAAAAGGCCTTGTACTTTTGACCCCTGGTTGATTTGGGGCTCCTGGCTACTAATAGGATCCTCCTACCTATATAAAGCTTCCTGTTTCCTGCAGAACCTGCCTAAACAAGGCTTTTGCTGCTTTTGGACTGCTTTATTGTCTCTTTGCTTCTGTATTCTGATTCCAGATATGATCACCTGTTGCTGACCCTGCCTGGACTTTGATCTCTGCCTCATGACTTGGACTGTTTGGAACTTGGTTCTCCCAGGTACTGGACCTTACTTGCTCTCTGACCTTGTGTTGTCTGTTATTTCAGCTATGATTCAGATTCTGATCTTCTGGCTTTGACCTAACTTTCCCTCTGACACCTGGCTATTGGTTCACTAGGCAAACGGTCCATGCCTTGGTGCATGACAACATCCTAATGATTACCTGATTATGTGGCTATTGATATGATGATGGAACGTCTATTGTTTTTGCTTTGCTCAGTTAGATGGGGCTTCTCTGAAAATGAATTGGGGCTGCATAGTGGAAGTGACTATTGCTTCATTTCTTGCAAAAGATGGAAGGTATAGAGGTATAGGATTGCAAGAAAGAAAAGACCATCTTGGGCATTTGTACAGGTGACACCCAGCGATGTACATGTGACAAAAATTTCTCTTTGTGTGGCTTAATGGTATCACACTTCATACATACACAAGTTTTGGGCAATTTAAATGAGTTTGCATCATCACAAACTAATCCCCATTCCAATGTAGTTTAGTTTGCAACAATGCAACTTGTAATGGTGCAGCCATTAACCTGTCATGTGTACGTGGCAAGTCATTGGATGACATGTAGTGAGCCCCTTTGTCCATTGGGTGTCATGCAGTTTTTGTGTAGTGAACCCCCTTGTCCACCAACTGTCATTACAATTTGCAGTTATTCTAGTGTAATGAATGTTTTAGGACACCAGGTATAGCAGCAGAGCCTGACATAAATCAGTCTTCTGCTGACCTCTTATTATTGTTTTATTAAATAAAGAATTCAAGGACACTGATCTGTCACTGCCATCTCCTATTTCACTTGGTATGGTGGGTGTCCAAAGGACCCAGGGTGTGTTGGGAGGTTGCAGATCAGGATGATCCCAAACTTTTGGAGATCAATCAGTATGTGCTGTATGTGCTCTCTTCTCCATTATTGGGGATAATGTGGTGTATGGTGTACCCTGACCCCCTCAGAGCTATTATAGAAATACCACACAGAGAAGCGGGCTATTGAATACTGGACACCTAACTTGGGGTTAATGCTGTAAGTGGTGTCACAAAACCAGTCAACGGAATAAAAATGACTTGTGCTGGCAAAAGATATATCCTGTTCCCCTATTTTGGGCAAAACCTGTCAACGGAATAAAAATGACTTGTGCTAGCAAAAGATATATCCTGTTCCCCTATTTTGGGATTACTGCTTGGAGTTAATAACCAATTGCTCACTTTCTGTGGGCTGCTGAGTGTAGTTTTATTTGCCATTAAAAGCAGTAAGCAGGTGCCTGGTCTCAGGATGGCAGATACTAGCCTGCAGGCATTATAACATTTTTTTTTTTTTTTTGGTGTGCAGGCCCCGCTCCCACCCCAAAGCCAACCTGCAGTTCTAGGAGGGCGGACACTTTTCCTGGTTTGCCCTGATGGTATCTTATGAGAACAGCCCTGTGAACCCCTGCGCTCTTGCACCCTGCACCTCTGAAACATCCCTTTTCAGCTGGCATAATTGTTCCCCTAACACCATTAATTTCCTCCCTGGTTTTGCATGAACCTGACAAGCGGAGTTCTGTGAATCTGATCACGAGCCTTATGCACACCCGCTTTATGAATAGCAGATGAGTTCTGTCACCCTTCTTTCCCTTACCGGCTATGTCTCAACTGCTCAGCATTTCCAATCATGTCCTGCTGGGTGCTATGTCTTGACACATGGGTCACTGGGCAGTCTGCTACTGTACAATGGCATACACAGGGCTAGAGGACCTAGTAAGGCTACAACACGCCCAGAACAAGCATGCCCATAAGGTACAAAAAGTTGCCATGGTTGCAGACAAAACCCCCCATCCCTGGCTTGACCCTGTCTGGTGAGAAAATGACCCATGTGAACTCTGCTCAGTGCTGCCAAAAGTAGCAACAGTTGCAGAGCATGTCTGCTGTCCAAACTTTGTCCAGACATAACAGGGTGGGAGGGGGGTGAACTTCCCTTGGCCAGGTCACCTCAACACCTATAAATTGAATGCACAGCTACCCAGGGTACCCCTCATTGATCCAAGATATGTGACACTTGGGGGAGAATGGAGTGGATTGGGATGCGTAGGTCTACTTTCAATTCTACCTTTGTTGAAACAAAGAGCCTGGTGTCGGTGTTGGTTGACCCTGAGATTGTGCACCAGTTTGTCTGCAGCCTGCATGCACTATCACATCTATCTTGATGTGGCAAGGAGAATGGGCAAGTGGGAGCACAACAGGATGGCACTACAGTTCCAGCTCAAGAGAAGGATGATGCAGGCTCTCTTTCACAGCAATGTCACTAGACCACAGCGTAAGAGTACTCCACTGCATGACATAACCCATTACAGATACCTTCAGCTGCTAATGGAAGTGCTGGATCACCATGAACACACAGGGACAGAGGTCTCCAGGGCATCCTCACCTGCTCAGACATCACCAACCACCACCATGACTCACAGGGACTCCAGTGGAGAAGATAGAGGAAGGGTCCTGGTCATGTCACCTGCTGCTTCCTCTGAGGAGGATGGACCGGGGAACTCAACCTCCACACCTGGTATGTGAATCCCTGGGGACCCTTCAAGTTACCTGTCACCTAACTGACAGCTGTGATTAGCCTGGGCTGTGAGGTGAAGGGGCAAGTTGGGGGAAATGGTGTAGGACAGTGCTTTAAAGACCCTGAGAGTTAGTGGGCAGTGCATGGAGCTACGGGGCAACCCACAGCAGGGAGCTGCATGAGTGGCCAGAGCAGGTGGGCAATTGTTTGCAGCCTTCTTGGCCATTTTGGGCTGATCGCTTCTTATGCACTTGCAAGATTTGCTGAATGTGTCTTTTTAGAGTGCCCAGCATCCTTAATTCACTCTATTTCCTGCATTTCTTGATTTTCAGTTCCACTTGCAATGCTGCCGCCAAGGACACTCAGGCTACTGAGGCAGGCTGCCACCAAGGCACGAAACGACAGGGTTCTGAATGCCATCAGAAAATGCGAGCATTGGCTGAGTGAGATGGTGAGACAATCTGTCTGGCTGCAGGCAAATTCATGGCTGTTCAGCACGAAAGGAACCTCACTTTGTCCAGGAGACATCCAAGCCCCGGCAGGACCAGCAAATAATGACCGGGCTCCTGGAAACAATTCTATGCCTGCTGGTTGACAGTTCCACTATTGCCCCTGCCAGGGAGAAGCACAAGCCAGTACTGATCCATGCTTTGTCATCCACAAGTTCTTGATCAAGCTCTGAAAGTCCAACTTAGAGCCAAGTTCTTTTATTTAGAAATGATTATTGCTTAGACTGATTTTTTTCACAGCTCATGCACCATTACCGCAGTAAAAAGAAATTTCTGTTATGTAGTAATTATGCGTCATTATCTTATAAACGTTGTTCTGTGGTTTTTTTAATTTTGTTTAATTTCTGGTTTGTAAATTAAGGTTTCTATTTGCTTTGTTCAGTTCTTCACTTCATGTTCCCTCTGTTCAAGAGGAGGAGTGTAGGTGGTGGTGGTGGGGTGTTTGCTAGCTTGTGGAAGGTGGGCTTTTGTTGACTTGAATTGGCAATCAGAATTTTGTCAAGCCTGCCTGACTGCTTTTGAAGTTGTTTTGATCTCAAACATGGTCAATCATCTGGTTCAACTTTTGTCCCCTGCTAATCTTGATGTGCTCAGAGGACCCACCCAATTAGTGTCTTGAGCTTGATGCACTCAGAACACCCACCCAATCAGCACTCCCCACAGTAACAAAAGTCTGGGCCAGCCCACCACCACCCAGCCTTGGTTTGGCTGCTGTATCTTTTTCTGGTCACAATATTAAAAGCCCGGGCTTTGAAAGCCCCTGCTCCCTCAAGCTCCCCACTTGGGTGGGATAGCTGGAGAATAATGGAAAGCTGCATGCACTCAGAGAAAATGTTATGGGCACAGTGCAGCAGCCCTGATTACCGCTCACCACTGTATCCCACGGTACCCACATTCTGGACAAACACCCCCCACCTCAGTCCAGGGGTGCACGTATCCTTTTTCATTAGTGCAATGTGTCTGAAACAAGCCTGTTTCTCTTTGGTTTGGCTTACCTCCCCACCGCAACCCGAGCCTCTACAAACCTTCTCATGTCAGCAGACAGACATGGATAAAAATTCATTTTAATTTCACCAGAGCATATATTTTACTGTCATTAACCGAAGCAGAACCAAAATAACACAGGAACACAATGCCCACACCCTGATTTGTTACAGAAGTATCAGCACAGCACTAACAACTAAAAACACATCACCTGTCATTGGCTCTTCTTCCCCACCCCACCTGGGCCCCCTCTGTCTCACCCTCCCCTTTGTCCCTAAAGCGTAGTGGCATTCTCCTTGTCCTGCTAGAGTAGGGGTGCCCTCTGCTCATAGGCACAGTAGCTGTCACTGAGGTTGTTGCTACAGCAGGGGCTGATTCACCAGTAGGGGTCTCTATGAGGGTCAGCTCACAGATAGGGGCACGCACAGTGGATGTTGCATGGGTGGTCCCGGGAGGGAAGCTCACAAATGGGGGGCCAGGGTCATGCGTCTAAGGAGCTCCTATCTAAACCTGCCCTCCATTTGTTTGCTCCGGGCAATATTCTGACAGCACTTATTTGCCAAGTTGAGGGATTACCTTGTGCTGGCCATGATGTACTTTTGTGCTGCTGCTTCTCACTTTTCAACCTTTCTATACACCCAGAATTCATCCTGCCATTCATCTGCAGACCATACTCACAATTCAAAGGTCATCACCAAAGCCTCCATCCTGCTTTCTCTTGACCATTGTTGCCTGGGGTGGTGTTCACGCATTCGCTCAGCTTTCCGTCTGTGCTGGTGTCTGCACTTCAGGTGCACATCCCAAAATTCCAGCGGATGCAGTAGCTGGTAACAGGAATCAGGGGGGAAAAATGGTGTTCATGGTCAAAGACCTTGTCCCCATTCCCTGCAGTGGACAGACTACTGGCGATTGCAGCAGCATCCCTGACACTCGACAAATTCATGCAGCCACCTGCAAAAAGATGATTATGCAGGAATCCAGATGTATCTCCAGTCTACTGAGTTTATTGTACATCACTCAGCGGCACAAATTCCTACTGCTAAACAAATTAATGCTTCCCCCATCCCTCAAGCAGCCTTAAGAGGGGGCACAACAAGTCCACCCCCATTTAAGCAAAACGTTGTGCGACATTCAAGCAGCGGACGTATTTGCCACTTACAAAATTAATGCCCTCCCTCCCGCTTTACCACAGTTGGCCCTGGCACAACAGTGGGGGCTAGATCCACAAAAGGCCTAGTCACCCAAACTGTTGTAGTGCCCCTTCCCCATAACTTACAAGTCCCTGGGTGTGGATCCTCAGGCATCTTCAGCACCAACACCAATCTTTGGGTGTGTGGAATTTCTGGCGTGTCTCACACATCTAGGGGCAGTACCATTGTGGAATCTGATGCATCCTCTTCCCCTGAGTTATGCAGGAAAAGCATCAGGGAGTGAGGTCATGGTCAAGACAACTTCATCTTGGTTCCCCCTGTCCTGAAGCTGCTGCAAGCACTCACCCCTCACCTCCAGCTGGTTGCCTGAAGGCTGCACATTGCATATTGCACTGCCCACCGAAGTTGCAAGACAATCTGTGGACTCTTGTAAGCTAGGTGACTCTGTGCCATCCCGCAACCCCATCGTGCCAAAGGATCAGAAGCAAGCACTGCCTGCGTCCTTCATGAGCATGCAGGACAGCTGCTCATAGAATGAGGCTACTGTATGTCCTGCCTCTGAACAAGAATTCTGGTCCTTGGCTCGATGGAAAGCACATTTCAGTGCCTTTATCTTGCTGTGGCACTGTGCCCAGTCCCAGTTGTGGCCATGATCTTTCATTTCCTTGGCAATGGATGCATAGCCTGACTTATTTTGTCAATTTTCTAGCTGCACCAGAACCTTTTAGTCTCCCCAATATCAATCAAATATGCCCAATCTTCCTGGACCCACTTGGAGCCATGGTTTTGAGATGTATCCAGCTTCTGCTCCAAGCCTGGCAGACATGGATTGTTCTTCAGCATCTCCACTGAGTATATTTTTAGCACCAAAGTGAGACACTGAGAGAGGGATCGCTATGCTCTGACCAGAGTCACAAGATGCTTTCTGGCCCCGGCAGTGAATGGAAATGTGAAAGGAACCTTATTGTGCATGTTTGACTTTGCACATGTACATAGCTATGCAGGTGTAAATGGGGTCTCAATATTGGCACTCACACAGATCTGCTCATGTGACCTTTCCTAACAGAATGACTTTGAAATCCATAGCCTGGCCCAAATGGTCCCCAAGGTCCCCCATTGTCCAGAAGGATACTTCTTAATGGCTCACTGCCACAGACATCCAAAATGCTTTGCCTGGCAGCTTGCAATGCAACTTAAAAGGAATTGCTGCTGGCACTTGAGGCACACACCCACTTCCATCCCAGCAGCACTGTCCGACCTATCAATCACTCAACTGTGCTCCTGGGAGTCTAATTCAATTGGGTGGGGGGGATCAGGATTCTTTCATTCAGTCTTCTACTCGGTGCCTGCCTTTTTTCTGTTGAGTGCTTGATGGATTTCAGGGATAATCCCCAAAAAGCCTAAAACCCCAAGTTTTTACAAGAGTGGCAGTGCTAATGGGACCTATTAAAAAAGAGCATGGGAACCTCACAGCTACCTTTCTTTCCTGGCTTATGCTGCGTTCAAGGGTGTTTGCTGGCATGAAACTTCATGGCGGGTCTAGTCATTATTCTGCTAAGTGCTATTATCTGCAGCCCTGAGCAGATCATGGGTTTCTGGGGTAATCAGACACCCCAGGTTTTTACAAGTGGGGTGGTTACAGGAACCTGAGGTGTGAAGGAATTGAAATGTATAATTCTAATGATCCTATTTAAAAACCCTACCTAGTCAACCCCCTTAGTGCAAGCAGGTGGTACTTTGAGTGATAGAGTAACTGTTGTTTTCTGCATAACAAGATGGCTTTGCTGACTCCTGATGGAATCTGCAAGGAAAGCCAGATGCTGTTGGATGCCATAGAGGTATCCAACTAAAGAATGGAGGCACTCGATAATGGAGAGATACTATTACTGAATGCAATGCAGGCTATGATGGACCTTCTACAGAGGCACCACTGCAGGGTATCAGCTTCTCATGCCTTGCTATACCAGTCAATGGGCCATAAGCTGGAGTCAGAGAACCAAGGGGAAGCCATGGATTTCAAGGCTGACAAGGTTCTGTGGATCAACCTACAGAGCAATAATCGCAAGGTCTGGACCCATGAAAGCAGCTCTGACTGGTGGGAACACATTATACTGTTGATTTATGATGATCAGTAGTGGCTCAAGAGCTTCTGCATGAGCAGGGACACATTTTCACACATAGTTGCACTGCTGTCAGTGCACATTGAGTGCCAGGACACTGTCATGTGTCACCCCATCACACCAGAAAAGAGAGTGGCCATGGCCATCATGAACCTGGCCACCCCCACTAGCCTCTGCTTTGTTAGGAACCAATTCGGCATGGCTCCTTGTATGGCTGGGCTGGCAGTATATGAGGTATGCCAGCTGCTGCCGGACATTGTGGTGAATAGCTTCATCTGCCTCCAGAACCCCAGGGAAGTTGTTGAAGGCTTCAAGGCCATGAGGTTCCCTAACCGTGTGAGTGCATTGGATAGCACATACATCCCAGTCCTATCCCCAACCCAGGGGAGCCAATCATTCACCAACAGGATGGGATTTACCTCTGTGATCCTCCAGGTTGTAGCTGATCACTGGGGATGCTTCACTAACATTTATACAGGCTGGGCAGGCAGCGCACATGATGCATGTGTCTTTTGAAACTTGCTGCTTCCTGGCATGATGGAAAAAGGACAATATGTGCCCAGGATCCCCAATGCGGTGATCTGGGTGTTGTTATGCCCCGACTTATCATAGTGGATACAACTCATTCCCTACTGCCCTGGTGCATGAAGCCATATGGAAGACATGTCACTGACTGGCAAAAAGACAGCATTCAACTGGCAAAAGACAGCAGTAAGTACATTTTCTCTGAGGGGGGCTGCAGTGATGGTGGGGCGAGGAACCAAAGAGGGCTGAAGTCTAAAGGCTTTTCTTTGCTTTGTGTATATGGAGGGTGAAATGTGGCAAGGACATTACAATGCATTACCTACCGCTGGTCGCATTAACTCAACACCCAATACACACAGAAGAGCATCACCT